CGTTTAGATTCTATTTGTATATTATACAACAAGGTTCTAGTTCGATCGAATATTAAATAAATTATAAATATTGTTCGAATTCCATTTTTAATTTGTATAAATATTCGAGTTTGAATTCAAATTGTGCTCGTTATATTGAACGAGATGGCTCTGAGCTCAAGTTCTAGCTTGAATTTGAGTTTGAAAATTATTTAATTATACCTTTCTAAAAATCATACATGATTTGGAATAAATTTATTTATGTTTCTTTGTTTCAGAAAATAAATAATACTAATTTATGTATAATTACATATTTGAAGAAAATACAAGATATATATACCTATATTTATTAATTTAAAACGTACTTATACTTATGTTTAATTATTCTTTATAATTATCTATGTATTCACGAATCTATTCGAATAATTTCGCAATAAATTTGTGTTCGACTCGATTATCAAACAAGTCTAATATCATGCTTAAAATTCGAACTTAAACGAGCCAAATCAAACGTGCTCACGAACCATTTCTTACCCTTCCTTGCCTCACTGGCATGTGATGAAGGTTTTTTTTTTTTTTGGGAATGGATAAGATTCACATGTGAGTTTTTCCAAGATTTAAGGAAGCAAGCTAATATTTTCATAAACAATTTTTTTTCGCAATAATATTTTAAGGATTTTTCTTATAGAATGAACTCTAGTTATTACACTTAAATTATACTAACTGACATGTAAATATACGTAATTACAATTATTACATTATCTCTAATTTAGACACTTTCTTAGATCAATTATACTTTTTCAAAAAATTAACACCTAAATCCTTTTTAACGAGTGCCGGTTGGGTATTCATTAGCCAAATCGATATTTTAAATCATTAGAATCCTGGAAAGAATAATTATATGATTAATTCAACAACTGTGGCAAATTTTGTTAAGCTTACCCAGAATTAAAAATAGATCAGCAAACAAAAGAACATTGCCAATGTCTTTGAAGCCCAAAAAGAATAACATTACGTACCAAGCTTTTGCTAAGTCTAACTTTATTTCTAGAATTCCCCCAAGAGAGGAAAAAAAAATATTAGCCCAAAAAAATAATTCTACCAAATAATCAACATTTCAGACTATGTAGAAAAGTCTGATCACAAGTCCTGGTTCTATCACCTACTTATGTTAACAAAATATTTGTCGAATTACTTTCCTACGGCGAATAAGAAAAAAGTACTGCAGTCTTTATTGTGGAGCATATGTTTTGTTGAAGTATAACGAATAAGATCACATGGCTTTGAAGGTTGCTTTTTTATTTGCTTATTGCCGAATATCATTTTTGATCTTGACGACACAAGCCTTATTGTCGTTCTAATATCTTTTTTTTTTTAATTATTGTAAGCTAAAACCTTTCATTCTTCTGTATACAACCGATAATGTAATGTTCATATGTAATGGATTCAAATCTTAATATGTTCAAACTCGTATTTGATAATCAAAATTTGAACATATGAATTAATTAATTATCCTTGAATTTTCTAGGTAAAACTTGCTCCCAAAAATAAATAATAAACTATTCACTTATTACTGAATGTGATATACATTCAAATGTATTTGATTTAATGATTAATAATTCAATAATTTAATGAATTCAGATTTCAGATTACAGATTTTAAATTTCAATTTTCAATCTTTAGTTTTATCAAACGTACCGTGAGTCCCTTTTTGCACTTATGGTACTTGTTCAAATGAAGGTTACCAAGTTTCTTCTCCACGTTTCGGGCACTCAGACCTAAGGAAAATGGAGTTAGGGTACAAGTTTTTGTTTGGGTCAACCAAATTTATTAATAAATAGACTAATTAACTCGTCCCCTCAACTAACTCATTGTCCCAAGCATCGCGCATGACATTCACTGCAAGTGAGCGAACTAGTAAAAAGAACATTTTGCCTTTCATTTTCTGTTTGTAGAGATGCAAAAAATGATTAACAAGGATATTTACGACCTCTTGAGTATCAGAAGAGAAACGAGTCTAGTCAAATCGAACATCCTATTTATTTTAACGAAATTAAAATTTTGTTCAAATTTAGTCTATTTATTTGTCAAATCGAAATTGAACGAGATTTTTATCGATTTTAAAAGTTGTCGAACATAAAACGTCGTTCAAATTTGATTTGACTAGTTGGCGAACTAAGTTGGAACGAACTCTTATGAAGTTGAACTTAATTCGAGTATCAAATAATTTGATTCATCTTTCATCCTTGCCAGATGATGAAATTGACTAGAGATCTTGTGGTTTAAGGGATGCCCTTCCCTGAATAATCAAATTTATACCAACAATTAGAAAGGAACGCAGCAGAATAATACTCGAGAACTTTGTCCCGGGTCTTATGATTCATCCATGTACCAGGCACCTAATTTTTGCAGCTTCAAATTAATGAAATATCATTCCAGTTGTTAGCATTATATAGAGCTTAATAGATCAGATTAAACACACTTCAGAGATACAAACTGGAAACTTAAGATTTGGCATATTGGATGCATTTGCCAGATTCGGAAGAAGCACAGTTAATGTGGGTTTCAAAACAAAAAGAATGAGAATTAAATTTCAATCATACTCGTGAATAATAATATTGGTTTAACATCAATTGGTATTAGTGAATGGCTTTCATGATTAATCAAGTATTAAAGAGTAGAATTTCACTTATCTATTATTCTTTATTATTAAATCAACTACTGTAAAGTTAGGTTACCAGATGCTATATGGATTTTTATCAAACCTACTTATTTCCTAATTTATATACTCATAGTAATAGTGATTATAAAATTTGAATCAAACTGCACCTTAGATAGTAAATTTTCGAACTTATATGCACATGCACTATGTATACGTTTGGTAGTACTTGCACTATGTATACGTTTAACTACTAAACCAAAACTTCCTCGTCATAAAGAACCTTTTTTTTTTAAAGAGGATTAAACGTGATTTTTCACTTATTCCCTTGATGAGTCGATCCCGTGGCCTCTCAATTAATGAAGCATTTTACCAACTAAGTCGCACTTCATTGATGAGGCACTTGATGATCGTCTAGAAAGGTGTTGAATATTTATGTGGTTAATGAGAAAATGCTCAACTGCATGACTTTTGGTGGATTGGTCTGGCAAAGAATTTCCTTTATGTGTTTCAGCTTTCAAACAAAGATTGAGCAGTTGTAGCATTTTTCACATCGAAGTCTAGTTGAAATTTGAAAGAGAGGAACAAACTTCATGCCAGCCATATATATATTCGGACTTTGACCGAAAAAGGTTGTTCTTCAGATCAGCTGCATGATTTGATTAGGCAGGATGACAATTAACCTTAACAGAAATTCAGGTGTTTCCATAATCTCTTGTATTTTCTTGATATGTACGGACATGTTCCAACATCCTTAGCCACGAATTGAGGATATTTAATTTTAGTTAGTGGCCACAATCCAGTTTATACTTTATATCAAGCCAAATTAGTGGTCCAAATCTGGAATCATCCTTCCACACCCCTTCCCCTCCCTTTTTTGTTTTTGTTTTTGCATGGGATGGCTCAATGGTAAAGTTTTTCCTTTTTTTTTTTTTTGAGAAGTTCATATTCAAACGTGCTAATAGCAGTTCCCAGTTAACAAGCAATTTGTAAGACTAGAAGTAAGTCTCTAATTAGTAATTAGTGGCCTGCATCGACATTAGGTAGAGTAACATTTCCTTATTTTAAACTTTCAGCAAAAAAAAAAAATCCTAAAACAGAAATAACTCCACCAAAGCTGGAGACTGTCTTTCAACAATTATATCAAATTTGAATCTATCTATCTCCCAAATTTTCATTCCTTTTTGGATGGCTAAGTCTTTTATGAGAAATTTTTAAGAAACAATCTATTGCATTTTTCAGGCACTTCTTTTTAAGGGGAGGTGTTTTGGTAAAATGCAGAGAATTAAATAAATATAAAAATTATCAAACACCTCATTGTCTCACGTTCATGATTTAGAAAAAGGGGCTAAAATTCTCAACAGCTACTAAAACTATTGCATGCCCACATTGACTTATGACCATCAAACAATTTTTTGTCACAAATTAACACTAAACTAAGTAATCAGTACACCCGTTGCCATTTTATCGATTATTACTCTTAATCTACAAAATAATCAGAACACGTGTCCAAATGTAAAGGTGTATTTGTCCACCATGAGTTTTTTTTTTTGTCAAAACATGGTTATGATTATTTTATAGATTAAGAGTAATAATCGATGAAATGGTCATAGATATGCTGATTAGTTATTTTAATGGCTAATTTATGACAAAAAATTGTTTGATAGTCCATTCGGGCAATAGTTCAATGACTACTCAAATTTTTGCCTAAAAAAGGCTAAAATAAATATTAAAAATGTTATTTGCGCTCTTATTTTTTGTTAATCATACTCTTGCTATTATTTTAATCATATAATTATCATTTATTAGATTATATAATAAATAAATGGCAAAAGCGCAAATAATATTTTTCTAAATATTTTATACATGTACCCACAAAAACGAAATAATTACTCAGTCAAAGACACAAAGTAGCTCACCCTACTCCCCACAAAAGGGGAAAAAAATAGCGCAATGACTTAGGCGCGTGAGGGTGACTTTGTTACCCCCCAAAACTGGAGTTTATACTGCGGTAACAAAGAGCAAAATTAAAAGAGCAAAGTTATGCAGAAAAAAGGAGAATTGTATAGAAGAAAGAAGTGGCAGTACACTAGCTGGTAACTGCACCAAATTGAGTAAGATTTTCCTTTTACTCTTTGTTTTTTCACATGAAGAAAAGGTAGGCATACATATGTACACTAAGGAATCCAGAAAAGAAACAAAAGGTTGCAACTATTGTAAAAGAGAACAAACACTAACAAAAGAAGAGAAATTATTGTAGGTTTTCCATTTTCTTGTAAGAGAAGGTCCAAGATTAAAAATCTCCTTCTGCTCCACCATTTATAAGGAGGGAGGAATTTTCAGTACTCGCTAGCTACCTTTATTACTTCAGTTCCCCATCTAGCTGGCTACCTCCTCTTCCTTCTGTCTATTTTATCTATTCTCATCCCATTTATGCACATGTACAAACTCCTGTAGATAATACTTCAGTGCCCCTGGCCTCTCCATAAGACAATATATATTCTCTTCTCTTCACATCCAAGAAGACCATCACACTTTTTCCTGGCTGCTTGCACGCACACACACACACACACACACGCTTGCCATTCAATCATAAGTTTTTTTGTAGAAACATTTTCAAGGGGAAAAAAAAACATGGGAAGAGGAAGAGTAGAGTTGAAGAGGATAGAGAACAAGATCAACCGTCAAGTGACTTTCTCTAAGAGAAGAAATGGTCTGCTCAAGAAAGCTTATGAACTTTCTGTTCTTTGTGATGCTGAAGTTGCTCTCATCATTTTTTCAAGTCGCGGCAAGCTCTACGAGTTCGGCAGCTCTGGGTATAGATGATATTCATATATATATAATATTTGTGTTTACCTTTATTTCCTTTTTGTGTATGTCAGAAAAGCTTCATGTTGAAGATTTTGTTTTCCTTAAAGAACCCAATATACTACTCTCAATAACCCATCATGAAAGACACATTTTGTTTTTTTTTTTAATTCTTCTTTGTTTCTGCATGTTTGTTATTTTAGTGCAAAGAGGAAAGGGCAAGCCCCGGTGGTCAGATTCTTATGAAACTGCAGTTCTTATATGTGGGCTTTGCTGCTTTTTGAACCCTTGAGTTCCCTTTTTCTCGTTGTTTTCGTTCTGTTGTTGGGTTGGGACTTTGAAGGATTTTGTGAGTGTATTTTTGGTTTGAGGTCCAACGAGAGATCGACACGTTTCATGGTCTCTGAGAGAGTTCTCTCACGATCATCATCAATATTAGTACAAAGGTGGATGGATGAATGGATCAGACTTCAGAGAGAGAGAGAGAGAGAGAGAGGTGAGAGACTCGCTTACGAGGTTGTAGTTGTTTTTTGTTTCCAACATACTGCAGAGACTTCTCCAACCCTCTTGGATCCCTGTGCAAGATCTAGGGTTTCTCTTCCTTTTGTTCTTGTTCTTCCCTTTTCTGTAATATCCCTTTAATGCTTCACCAGATATTTCTGCAGTAACACTAAAAAGAATGGTGCTTTTCTTAGTCCATTGGACTCGAGCACGCCTTCACTCACTTTTCATCCTTAGATCTTGTGGTTCCATTACTAGACTTTGGGGTCCTTTTTTTGTACACACATATATCTCTTCCATCATTGCTTTACCCATTATAACTTCAAGGAAATGCCTAATATCTTCATACAAGCCATTGCACTGGAGTCCATATCAAAAAAAGGATAATTAAACAAGGGTTAAAAGCCCAAAAGGGTTTGCTTGGAGAGTTATCAGTAATGTTTGATAATGTTGCGTTATTAGCCAAAGCCTGCAAGAAGATAAGTTCATTATTTTGACGCAGTTTTTGCTTGTAAAAGGTGGGGGTTTTCTTTCTTACTTCGTTGCCTGTGTCTTGGCCTTACATATTCAGCTATGATGCCCTTTTTGTTGCATAATTTGGTGAAACTTTTGAGTGTGAAATGTGGGTTTTGCTTATTTTCTCAGTTGCAGCAGGGACCATCTGGGCTCTCATTCTTTGCCATACATGTTCTTTTGTGTAACTTTGCTTTGAGTTCTATCTGGGGAATAGGGCTCTCTCAGTCATGATTGCTTTAGTTTAGACATTTTAGTGAAACTTTTATCTTTCTACTGGCAATGCTGGGATTCTTTGCTTAAATGACTCAGAGTTGTGCTCCCAGTCAAGGTTTCCTTTTCTATGCAACAATTGTTTTCTTGTTTCTGCTTGTTATGTTTTTAACCCTCAAAGTATCTTTTCTGCAGTTATTTATTCCTCAGTCTATCTAATTATCTCTACTCCCTTAACAAGAAAACCCGAAAAAGAAAAGAAATCTCAAGATCTACAACGCTTCAGAGTCTTTTAATTATTTGTTTTTGAAAGTCTAAAAAATTAGAGATTGATCTTCCCTTTTCTTTCAGTTGGTGAAGTTTCCCAGAGATACTTTGAAACAGTATGTTCTTTGCTTCAGCATTTAGGTGCGTTGATTTATACAGCAAAAATAATGATAAAAAATTGAATACGAAGACCCAAAAAAAAAAAAAGAAAGTGTTTTGAAGTATATTAGAGGAGCTGTAACAGTAGAATTCTGAGCTCGAACTTCTAAGCCTTTTCTACGTGGGGAAAGATTGGAACTTTGAGAAGTAGAGGATCTCAGGATTTTCAGAAGGCGGATCTGGTCTAATCAGACCAAAGTTGCTCAGAAAATGAAGGACATCATAGCCTTCTGTCTTGACAGCTCAAATGATGCTTGACTACAAAAATTTCTTGTCCATCTATCTTCTTTGCATCTGCTTCAATATTTGACGAATTTGGAAGTAATTCTTCTTTTTCTTACTTAAATTCTCTTTTTTTTTGTGTTTTTTGTGCAATTTCTTTTCTTTCTCATCCATCTTATGCATCATTTAACCTAGATTTATCATTTTTTTTAAATGATCAATAATGGTTCCTCGCTTGCTCTCAAACTATGTTCATAGTTTTATGCAATTAAAATGTATTGATTTTGAGTCTTCTCTTTACCTTTTATTTTCTTGGGAATGCCCTAATCAATTGGCAGGCAGGAGTGCACCTTTAATTGCTGCATAAATAATGGTATTAGTAAGTTGACAGATTTAATTATCTATGAAATTGGCATGCCTGTCAAATATTGCTATGACTTCATAATTACTAGATTTAATTACTAGTATTTTACTTGCTATCTATCTTTCTTCCTTTTTTCTTGGCTCATGTCCTCCAGAACATCTTGGACAACAGGATCTAATTCGTTTTGCTAAAACAAGATCCATGTTGTGTAAACATTCATATGGTAAAATTTGTCACTAGATGTAAACAAAATTCTTCAATGTTATTATCGTGGAATATCTTCACATATGCGTTTAACTTTTTTTTTTTTTTTTTTTTGGTATAGGTTTTGTCAAAATTTGCTTGTTGTCGTGCACCTACAAGAAGGAATAACTTTGCTATTTAAGTACAAGAAAAATGAAAAATCTAGTGTTTTTATGCAACATATTATAGACAAGCCTACATGAAAGTTGCAAGGTGATTACTTTAATTGCAATACTAACTGGAAGTAGCTCTAGAAACAATTTGATTGAGGCCTATAATATTAGCATTCTTTTATCTGAGAATGAAGCGCTCATGTAGTTGTCCTCCGTGCATAATAAAAATTGAGAGCTTTAGGTTTGGAGTTGTGCATAAGGTGAAAAGATCTGAAAGAAAGAGAAGGGAGAATTATACAAAGATTCATCCAAATACATTTACCTTCTGATGACGGCATATTGATATGAATACAAACTAGATTTTTTTTTTTTAAAAGCTAATTTGCTAAAGTCAATAGCCTATATATGTAGCTTAAATTTGCATTAGGGTTGACATACCTGTTGTTTGTTCTATGGGTTGAGCAGCTTATAGAAAACTAAACTTGCAAGAACAAATATTTGAATTTCTGTGGTCTCTGACTGACTTAGCATCTTAATACAAGGACCTTTAGCAGAAGTTTTGCTTCTCTTTTTGTTCTTTAGCTTCATCAAGTCTTGGCCTTGCTCCAAATTTTGTATCTGCTTTCATGTGTTATAGTCACTGGTAATGAAAATTAGTTTTTAACAAGCTCCTAAAGTTTATGCTCTACAGATAAAGGGCTGAAGTGAAAATGAGTTAACTCTTCTTATGTATGCTGGTGATCTCTCTCGATGTGTTTCTTTTTTTCTAATTTTCTATAAATCCTCAAAGATTTAAAAAGTAAGATCAATTTGCTATATATTGTTTCTTTCATAGTTTAGGGTAGAGATAGCAGCTGGTATTTGGTGTCCTGTGAGTTGCCATGCACAGATAGACATGACATAACAAATTATGAACCACCTTATTTCCTCTTTAAATTTGCAGGATAACTAAAACCCTTGAGCGATATCAACGTTGCAGCTTGAGTCCTCAGGAGAATGCTGCTGAAAGAGAAACACAGGTTTTTTTTTTTTATAACTATGCAGACATTCAACATTGCATCAGATTCAGAGAAACACAGGTTTATCTGTTAAGTTATAGTAGCGACCACATTAATTATCATGAAATATGATCCAGCAACACGTTACTCCATGTGAATCATTAATTGGACGCTCCATGCCTTACTGTTTATCCAAAATAGAGCGTTTTTGTGGTCCTAGAGTACTCTTTTTCTTGCAAATCTAGTAACTTTTTCCGTTTTGACAGAGCTGGTACCAAGAGGTCTCAAAACTGAAGGCCAAGTACGAATCACTACAACGCGCTCAAAGGTTATGCGTTTCTCCTTGTATAATTAAGCTCATTAGTCCTTTTCCTTTATTGCAGCCCTTGCTTCAATTTCTTGGTAATTACCTGAAGTGACATATATATTGACCTTTTTGTGAATTCAGTGCACTGCTATAACACTTGGTTTTACTATCGACAGTTTGACTGAATTTATATAAAACCTCTATTTATATGGCAACTTCTAAAATCATATTGTTAATGCTTGAAGGCACCTACTTGGAGAAGATCTTGGTCCATTGAATGTGAAAGAGTTGCAGAATCTTGAAAAGCAGCTTGAGGGAGCTCTTCTCCAGGCTAGGCAAAGGAAGGTACTACTTACAAAGTGTTTGGAATTACAGTTGCAAACCATAAAGAATTGATCACAAAGATGTGATCACAAAGAATTTCAAGCAGCCGATTGACTCGCTGATTTTAACTTTATAACATAGATAATAATCCAATTCTATTTTTTTTTTTTCAAATTGCTTCAAGAAAAAGAACATCATTTATAATTGACTTGAATGTTTGGAAGCTGAAACAACAATTGTAAAGTCAAAAAGATCAACAACATATAGTCGATATTTTTCCATCTTTTTGATGAAACAGGTCTGTTTTTGTCATCGTATAGGACATTTGCTGAATACATACAAAGTTGATATACATGAAATTATTTTGTAAATGTCCAAGAAGCTTCTACTCTTTCTATAGATACGTTCCTCTAAATTTTACTTGAATGTCGTCATTCTCTCTATATATATATATAAACAGTAAGCTATTTGGTGACTTGTCATACTTCCTGCCAATGAGATTCTCACTGATGCCATTTCCCTCTTGTCCCCTCTATATATATATGTATATATTGCAGACTCAGCTAATGATTGAACAAATGGAAGAGCTCCGAAGAAAGGTGAAAATTAAATTTTCTTGCTAAATTATTCTGATTATACCCTTTTTCTCTTTGATACTTAATCACTAGAAGTCTCTGAAGTTTCAAATGTTTTCTTGGTCAAAAATGATTTCCGACGTCGTTCCCTTAACCTAGCTAAAGGAATGTACCGAAACTAAAAGGAATCCACTCTTGATACGTACATGTTAACGGAGTTGACGCCTGAGCCTCCATATCAGCTAGAGCGACCCTATTCTGCATGCTGTCAAAAAAAAAAACTGGAGAAAGTTCAAGTCTTTAATTAGGTCATAAACATTTAAGAATGTCACTTACAGGTTTTGCTAATTGCTGTAAAACGGCCTAGTGAACATGCAAGATTTAGAAGCATTTGCGAGGTCAATTGAGTTTTTATTGCATGAACATGTCCAAATGGTTATAAGTTGAAGTTGAGTGTCATGATAGGAAGCCATGGATGTGGCTTCTTTCATTTCCTGCTCATATATATATACTGGAATTATGCAAAAGTGTACCATTTTATGTGGTGGCAGGAGCGGCAGCTTGGGGACTTGAATAAGCAGCTTAAGATTAAGGTTTCCCTGGAAATGTCATCGGTAATGATTCGATTCGATTCGATTCGTTCATTATGTGCACGTAATAGGATCCGTTAGCAGTCGGTCTGTGTTATATTACATAGAATTCAACATTTTTCTTTCATATTTTGCAGCTTGAAGCAGCTGAGGGACAAGGCTTAATAAGAGGCCTCCCTTGGCTTTGGAGTTCGAGTGTACCAAGTGGAAGCAGCATGTTTCCTATGCACACTTCTCACCCCAGTGCCGCCATGGATTGCGATCCTGAGCCTGTCCTACAGATAGGGTTCGTGCCCTTAATTACGACAATTTTCTCCTATGTTGAAGTTTAGAACGGGAGGCAATTCCTCAAAGCTCCTCAGTTCTTGAAAAGAAAAACATCTGCAGAATCAAATCACTAATTTTTTTCAGTTTTCTCTTGACCAACCAACAGGTATCATCAGTATGCTCCGGCAGAAGGTCCTTCTGCCCCGAGGAGCATGGCCATTGAGAGTAACATCATCCAGGGGTGGGCTCTTTGATATCTCTTTGCAAATCTTTTATACGTTTGATGCAAAAAACCAATTCAATGATTTGTGCTTTTGGATTTGAACATGTTAATCCCATATGAAACTAAGTACTTTATAACTAGCTGCTTAATTTTGTATTTACAGAACTTGAAACTTACGCATTTTGATCTTTATTGCAAGGATTATAATCGCATGATGTAGACTGTTTGAATCTTAACCTACCATCTTTTTGGCCCTTGTAGATAAAATTTGCGTATTTAGACTTCAAAATTATTGTCATAGCATTCTGCGAGTACGAAACCGTTTTTGCTCTCGAACATTAGGACAGAAGAAAAGAAAAGGAAAAAAAAAATCAATAACTCAATTTGGTACCCCTCAATTATTCAACTATTCTCTCTTTGTACTCTAAAAATTGTTAGTATCTTAAGACATTTTGTATATTCAATTTGGAACCCCCACATTGTACTGCTCGTTTTTATTTTGACTACTTTTGAACCAATTTTTACGAGTCATTAAGTGTTGACCAGGAAAAGTTCATAGGATTTTCCTCAACTTTTTTTTATTGGCAATAATAGAAGTGAAAAATTCCTCGACACAACAAGGACTAACAAGCGCTGAAAGCCCAACTCTATTATATGTAGGTTGAGCCCACTTCATTGTGTTGAAAGGATGGAACCAAGTAAGAGGGTTTATAAGTCTCCTGCAGGAACCATAAAAGTTGTCGGCTTTTGTGATTTTCTGTTGGGTTAAGGTTTGTAAAGTTATCAAAAGTCATTTCTTGGCTTTGACAAAAAAGACATCAGCCTTTCCGGGGTAATTGAGATCTCTTTAGGTTTTAGCAGTAGGTTCCCTGCATAGGTTGATATCCCGCATCGGGGTTGGGGGGATTTGGGGTAGGTTTATAAGTCTCCTGCAGGAACCATAAAAGTTGCCGGCTTTTGTGGTTTCCTGCTGGGTTAAGGTTTGTAAAGTTATCAAAAGTCATTTCTTGACTTTGACAAAAAAGTAAGAGGGCTATTTTTTCTTCTTTTTTTGTTTTTTGCCAGTTCCGGTAATGATTTTTGGTTAAATTTGTCGTAAGACCGAATTGAGTTGGCAGGGCCATTAATCAAAATTATTCATTAATTCTGACGTCATTAGGTGCATTCTCAATTTCTCTTTTTCCTCCTTTTTTTTTTTTAACAAATCCTACCATCTATCTCCTTTGCATCGAAAAGGAAAACGACTAGATTTCCTGTAATATTTATCTTAATGTCACGTTATCTTAAACATTAGAAATTTTGCAGAACGTTCTGCGTAAGTTCTAAAATTCTGTGCCAGTGACTAGGGGACTAGGCTTTCCTCTCCATTACACTCTAATAAATGTTAAATTTGAAAATTAGTTTCAAAAACCAATAGCGTTCATAACCTATTTCATCACTTGTGCTAGTCATACATCAAATTTTGTATTAAACTGACTAAGTTTTATGGTTTAATTAATCATTACAAAATTTGTTACAATTTTGACTCATTTTTCACCGTTTAAACGTTTCGTGCAAATAAAATGTCAAAAGATTATCATTTTTTATACGTTGATCTAGAGATCAAAGTGATCATAATAATGACGACATGATCGGATGATTTTCTAAAATTATAATGATTTACATATAAATAAGTGGTTAGATCAATGGAGAGGATTAATATTTCAACCCGTGACTGAGCCTGATAGCAGAAAAATAATTACGTAACACTAAGGAAATACATTTCTAAGCTTCTCTGAAAGGAGGAAAAAATATTTTGTATTGGAACGAATTTCTGGGGTTATAACATGTACTTGATTAAGAATTCCATCGCTATTAACGTGGGCCAATTCGATTAGTATTTGATAGTCCCTATTTTATTTTTATTTGTGTATGTGCAAACTCAATCATGTTTATACTTGAACTGCAAACTGACTGGTTTGGAACGTTTTAATCACTAGCTATTCCCTTACTTTTGTTTGATCAGAAATATATGAGTCTCTACGGAGCAATTTCCAAATTCTAGTCGAAGAAAACGATCTTGTTCTCAATGTTGCAAGTGAAAGGAGTACAACAAAAAACGGGATAATCTTTAAATCAAAATCAGCAGATAAAAGCGCCAAGAAACCAAATGATATGGTAGGGAAAAAAAAGAAGAAGCAAAAACAGTGCCAGGAGAACCCCAAGATTCCCGACATAGTAGGCTACTATCTGAAACCAGTCAACCTAGCACCCCAATTAATATGACGAATTCTGCGCCATTTTCTCATTTTAATCTCATTTTTTTGGTAAATTTTTTTGTTACATTGAATGTAAGCATCATATCCAGTTTCTGTATTTTCCCTCTTCTTTTGCTGCTGCTGTTGCCATAATGGATCGATCTAACAAGGAGATCAAACCGGGATGTTGTTTCCCGGTGCGCCTGGATCGGTCCATGAGGCGCAGCTTCAAATTTTCCAGGAGCTCTTCCTCTGATAAATTGATTAAAGGTGGGTACTACTGATAATTCCCTCTTCATTTCTTTGCACGCCTATCATAATTTCGCGAGACAGTTATTAAATTTTGCGATGCATAAGTGAAATATGGTGTGACAAAATGTACAAGATTCTGGTGACATGCAAAGGGTAAAAGTTGAGGCTTGTCAAGAATGATATTAATTAATCTCTTCATTAAAATGTGAATATGTTGTGGTTTTAATTTTATCAGGTTCACCAAAGACTGGTGATACACCAAAATCGTGCTCAGGGGCACCAGTCAAGTCGCCCGGGCTGGTGGCATGCTTTGGGGAACTGTTGATTGATTTTGTGCCAACAGTTTCTGGAGTCTCACTGGCTGAAGCACCAGGTTTCAAGAAAGCTCCAGGTGGGGCTCCTGCTAATGTTGCTGTGGGAATTGCAAGGCTTGGAGGCTCCTCTGCTTTCATTGGCAAGGTTCCACAAGCAGCTCCAATACTTTTATCACTAAAAGTTCTTGAAATTTTACTTTATTGCCAACTGGCTCCTCATGTGTTAGCTTTTTTTTTTTTCCTAGTATTGTTTGCTTTTTGCTTAGATGCATTAGAATTGCTATGGGTGACAGTGTGAGGCATTCAAATATCTTCTAATAGGAATTCGATTTTCCTAAAGATCCTGGCTTTCGTACTTTGGTGGGGTCTAAATCTTTTCCATGACCTATATTATGTTGAAAGCATATCTATCTAATCCGATGATCGGCCTGCGGTAGCAATGGAACCGGGGAAATTTCATTTGAGGGATTGCAAAGCAATAGCTTGAATGTTTAAGGGGGCTTCATTGACGCACTGTTATACCTCAGAGGGTTAATAAGGAAATCTCAGTATTAGAAGAAGGCTGTATTGTTGCATTTTCATGGTTTAAAGGTCTTAATTGAAAATAATCCATCTCGTTATTTAAACATCTTGTATGTTTGCAGAATTGTCATTATCTTTCCTTGTCAGATAGGAATTTTACAAACTAATAAGCAAAATGACATGGGGTCAAGTCAATAGATCAATCAAATCTCCATCAAACTGTTGAGTCCTTAGATCATTGCCTCGTTACTTTAGCATCAGCAAGAATATCTGCTGCAAATTTCTCCAGAAAGTTCGACTGTCATGAACTGTTTAACAGCTCTGAGGTATTGGACCTGTGGTGGTAACAAATTAACAATACATGTTCAGGTGGGGCAAGACGAATTTGGTTATATGCTGTCTAATATTCTGAAGGAGAATAATGTGGACAACTCTGGCATGAGATTCGACTCACACGCAAGAACTGCGTTGGCCTTTGTCACCTTAAGGGCTGATGGCGAGCGGGAATTCATGTTCTTCCGCAATCCAAGCGCTGACATGCTTCTCACTGAAGCAGAACTCGACAAAGATCTCATCAGAAAGGTAACATATAAATCAGGCTGGCTGCTTAATTATCTAGAAATCAGAACAGGGCTATTTCTGAACTAATTGTTTCTTTCCATTCGGAGCCTGAGAATAATCCTAACTGTTTTCAAATCGTTAAAGAAATTCAAGTCTGATGTGCTCATCTGGGCAACTACATCTAAAGATTTTCAGTTCCGCAAGTGATCATAGCTGGTGGATACTCAATTACGTTGGATACACTTTTTTGTTTTTGTGGCATCATAGATACGTTTTCCCATCACCTTTTTATATTTTTAGTCATTTTTTTATCTTACATACGTCACGTCATAAAAAGTGTTACTGAATTATTCTGAATTTTTTTTCGAAATAATCTTCAATCCAAACACACTGATACACTTTTGTTCTTTGCAGTCCTGCATTTTTCACTACGGCTCGATCAGTTTGATTGAGGAACCATGTAGATCAACTCATCTTGCAGCTTTGAAAGTAGCCAAAGAGGCAGGTTGCATTCTCTCTTATGACCCAAATCTTAGGTTGCCCCTATGGCCATCAGCTGAGGCTGCTAGACAAGGCATCATGAGCATATGGGATCAAGCTGATGTTATTAAGGTACTCCTATCCCATGTCTACCAAGATTTTAGACTCAAGAAATACACTATTAATTATTTTAAGTACTACTAGTCATGCTCATTATATATGGAGGAATGCTAATTTGATTTCTGCATCCATTTTGGCGTCGCGAGTGAATTTCAGATAAGTGAGGAAGAAATCACATTCTTGACTGGAGGAGATGATGCTTACGATGACAATGTGGTGTTTAAAAAGCTTTACCATCCAAATCTTAAGCTTTTGCTTGTTACTGAAGGGCCAGAAGGCTGCCGATACTACACCAAGGTTGGCCTTAGATTAACCTCGGATATCTTGGTGAAATGAAAATATGCATATAAATCACGTGCAAAAGATTATTCAAAATCTTTATGCAGGAATTTCATGGAAGAGTTCATGGTGTAAAAGTCCAGGCAGTTGACACAACTGGTGCAGGGGATGCTTTTGTTGGCGGATTGTTGAACAGTTTGGCTACAGACCCTGATTTGTACAAGGTAAATAAAGCAGTATTTTCTACAACCTCACTTGCTAAATCAGGCTAGAAGAAGAAAATCTGGACAATGATTTGGACAAACATCAGATTTTTATCAAGTAACATAGGATCAGAAGTGTGGTTGCCTATCCAGAAAAGTAAATATATAAAGAAAACAGAAAAATATATATGATCAAATAACATATATAAAGAATCGAAACCAATTATATCAAATTGTTTGCAAAAGCTGTACCTATCAAGCGATCCAATAGAAAAAATAAGTTGGCTGGCCATGAAAAAGTGATTTTGAAACATACGGTTTCCCTTTTCAACTACATATGCCTCAAAGGAGTACCAATTGATGATTCTCATCAAGACGTGTGGACATAGGCCGAATGGTTGTCAGGAAATCGTTCGGGCCGATTTTATGCAAAATGCACAAAATATAACTTTGTATGCACACGATATAATTCACTTTCAATAACGTGTAACTATACAATAAAATTTTATGAATCCAACACACAGTGTGAAAAACGATGTACAAGATGCAGTCTGAATCTTACACATAGTTATAAAAAATAGACCATTAAGTGTTATCAAATCTTTGATTTTGATTTTTCCTCTATTTTTGCAATAATGTAATTTAGATTTATTTGGAGCAATAACTAATTAAGAGGGAATCTCACATATGAACCTCGTCAAAATGGCCAAATTGTTTCACTGAACAGAACCCTTCTGCTTCTTCTTTTTGAAGAATGTTCAAATTGTAATGTACCCCATGGTGCATAGACACTAGTTCTTAATTTTTGTTTTTTCCTTTTTGGCTGCAGGATGAGAAGAAATTACAAGAGGCCCTTTTGTTTGCCAACGGCTGTGGTGCAATTACTGTGACTGAGAAAGGAGCAATCCCAGCGCTCCCAACTAAAGAAGCAGTCTTCAAGATTTTGGATGCTGCTACTGCCTGATGGAAACCCTCAGTTCCAAGTTCTATTTCTATATTCTGATGCAGCAGCCACATCTCACAAAATTTAGGCTTTTTTTTTTATGTCAAAATTTTGTCCGTCTTTCCTTCTTATGAACCAAATTGCTGCATGATTTGAGGTCCCCATATAATACTATCTACTTTGGTATGTAATGAAGCAAACTACTTGAATCCACTTTTTTACTTTTGGTATGAAATGAAGCCAATAGTAGACTTGCATTTTCTGCTGCATTATTTTATGCTTCATTTTGGAAGATCTTGCATTTTACAAAGGTGCTCTAAGTTTGATACTTATCTTAATGTATGCTAATTACCTCTTTGCAAAGGTCCCGCCAAAAAGACTAAAACCAATACTCCACTCTCTCTCTCTCTCTCTCTCTCTCTTGGAAATGCACTCTTTTAATTTTTTTTCCTTTTTTGGTTTAACTTTTTTAAGGATAAACATTGGATATATAGGCTAGTAGAGAAGAAGGGACAAAAAAAAACACTTAAAATCTATTATTTTTTTTTTAGATAGATGATTTTTGTGATATAATGTATGTGAAATAAAAGATGGTTGAGAAGATTAAAAAAAAAAAAAAAAGTGATTGGCAAATGTGTTTATGGTACAAGTAAAATATTTTTTTTTCTAAATAATCATGTGTCCAAACAAACCTTTTTTTTGGGTAAATTACTCATTACCCCCTTATGATTTTACTTAATGTTAGATTACTCCCTAAGGTTGTAAAATAGCCATATAACTCTCCTGTAGTTTTATGTAAAGTGAAAAATAGAGAGAATGCACAATCAGTTATGATGTTAATACTAAACGCGCTTTAAAAGCATGTGTGATAAAATTTTAATATCCACATAATTCCTTTATGATTTGTATAAATATTCACTTTATTCCCCATGTAATTTTTGTACTTATCCACGTAATCTCTCTATACTTTTATACAAGGTGATTAAACCATCAATGAATTTAGCATTTAAGTAAGCACTATTGGTATTTCAACTAACCACGTTACATAGGTTATTTTCCATCAAATTTCCGCTTTACACAAAATCATAAAGGATAAAGTCGATATTTTGAAACGTTAAGGAGATCATGTGACAATAAATGAAACAACAAAAGGGTTACATGTAATTTACCCTTTTTTTCTCTTTTTTTAAAAAAAAATTTTGGTTTAGCAGAACTCTATACAGTAACACCTTATTTTCTAACCAAAAGCCAAGCCATGTCCCACAACAAAGCCAAAACACCTAAACGACCAAACTTGTAAATGCCATCAACCATATACATCTCTACTTTTTACTTTCTTAGATCCGTTTGCTAATCAAATTCAATATTTTAATTTAATAAATTTAAATCTTAATATGTTCAGACGCGTTTGATAAGCAAAAAATCTGAATTAGTTAAGTGACACTACTGAATTTTCTAAATAAAGTTTGGTCTAAAAAATAAATAATAACTATTTACTTATCACTAAATGTGATATACACTCAAATGTATTAATACTTGACAATTCAATAACTTAATATTTCGAATTTCGAATTTAGTTTTCAAACTTCAGTTATATCAAACACACCCTTAATCAGTTGACTTCGCGAAATAACCCTTAACTAAAACTTTTCTTCGTTGAATGTACATGGATTCTTCAGTCAACCAGCTCTTAAATTCACAAAGAAGAAAAGAGAAAATTTTAAAGCCCATTCAGTGGCGAAATAGATATATTAATATACCTCAGGGTAGACCCTATGAAAGATTTTCTTGATCGTATTCCATTGGGAATACGATGCCAAAATTAATAAAACTAACAACAATAATGCAATCACAGGTTCGTTTATCACTCTTGAGGCGTAATAATGCTCTCCGATTCTTGCTTTCCACAGTCTAGCAGCTATAGGCTATTTCATATTTGACATTGAAACAATCGTCATAATAAGCAGTCAGCTCGCTGCAGAGAAGAGTCTTCATCTGGCTAGGTCGTCAGTTCTTCAACACTAGCTTATTTCTTCTCTCCGGTGGTCCAATAAATAGCCCAGTCTCCACATCTGAAACTTCGCTACTCTCTGTACAAGGCACAATCTCTGTGTTCTCTTTTGATGTCTGTGGAGGCTCTGCTCCACACTAATTAAAAAACACGCACACGGAAAAAAAAAAAGAGAAAAAAAAAAAAAAAATGCGAAGATCAGTTATTTGAACGGCGGCCCTTTCAGTTTTAGCTGTAGGAAAATTTCCTGAAACATTACAAGAGACTGGAGTCCCAGCTGTTTGGTTGATTTGTATACAGAAATTTACAGAATATATCCTCAGATCAGAAAAGAGAAACATGTCCAGACCCAGCAAGATAAGCCACGTACTAAAAGAAATAAGAAAAGGAACTGACCTTCTCCAATAACTTGTCATTTTCAGCTTCCAGGACTTTTTCCTGGATGATAAAGAACAAAGAAAGGCGTTACAGATGCAAAAGTGAGTACACTACATCCAGATGTACGTATAAAAATCCATATAACAAGTGGACATATAGGTTGGCGTTGACTACAAAATAGGATCTGTCATTTGAAAATCTGAATAGATGCTTTACCCAGGGTTGTTTTTGGTTTTGGCATTTCTACTTCTTTTCCAGAAGCTTTTAAGCCATTTTCCCAACACCATTGTTTTGCTCTTTAGCCAACAACGATTGAAGGAAAATAGAGATGTAAATGATCCAAGGAATTGTTTTGCATCTACTCGTAGCACTTGAGAGACTGAATTACGTTGTTTTAAACATTGAGTACCAAAGATGAGATTCAATAAAACCTTTAGGGACCATTTCAATAATTATATTATTCTTCTGCCAAAAACCCAAATGTAGAATGGAAATCTCAAATAGAAAAAACTTCAGCCATGTCTACCTTTTCTTTTAATTTTTCAATTTGTTCCTGGAACACTTGCATCTGAATGTGCACAAGAATTAAAAATGTCAGATTCTGTATATCATATTTTCTCAAGAGCAGTCTGAAGTATCTTGTTTTAATAAGAAAGACCTTTCTTGCTCGAATGCAGTTCACACTTCGTTCTAATTGGCGCTCCAACTGCTGCAGTTCCTCAACCGTGCACGAAACTAAGCCTTCCCCAAAAGTTTCCTACAGCATTTTAACGTTCACTGGTAAAGGCCAACTTTCTATAAACCAGGTGAATGACTAAGCAAGAGTTCCCACGATAATTTCAGATTAGGCTAATAAAACCTTTTGGAAGCTTCAAGGAGCTCTATCTTCTTCACCATGCTTGCAGTTTCCTGTTTCAGTTGCTTCAATATAAAAGAAAAGGTACAATCAACAAGTTTGTTCTCAAGGTGTGAATCAAAGTTGCATTGACATACAGCAGCTTCATGCATGCTAAATCTCGATTCAACTGAAAGTACCGAGGAGAGACAGACCTGCATATTCTGTTCTGCTGAGGGGTTGTTAGCTCGAACATCTTTTGCATGCTTTGATAGCGTTCTATTATCTCCTTCATGCTAAAAATTGTGCATATTCCAGCGTAAATGCAATTAGTACTTATCCTTTACCCCCATTAATGCATATGAAATGAAGGGACACGGTTATCAGATCTCACGTTCTCTGAAAGCGCAGATTAAGGCATTAAGTTGTTCTATCACATGTCAAGAAGAGTAGATCATCAAGCATAAAAACCTGAAGTCACAATACCACTCTCTAGAGGAGAGGGACACAAAAAGGACGAAATCAACAACCGGGTTGTACCCAAAGCTCCTTTGTGATTGGTGAACCCTGACTCTCGGTCTCTAGCATTGCACTATAGTATGCTATGTTTGTATTCATTTAGCTTGCTATTAACATACTTTATAGCTTATAGTAACAATCCCACTGTTTCACAAGCCAAAATTAGTTCTTTGATGATTTTTCTACTCATGAACTAAATGGGGAGATTTATTTTATGCAGGATGTACGTGCACTATTAGCTACTTGATTCCTTTTTATAGTTTTTATGGGGGATGGGTTTGCTAGTTCATATATGCATTTTTGTAAACTAAGTTATTCGCATTAACATGGTAAACTACCTAGCAAGCACTTCATATGGCACATTGCATCATTCTTCAAAAGGCATCAGTTCATACTCTTTAAGTTTTTAACTCTGCCTGATTTCTAAATTTATGTTTCCGGAAACCTCCACCATTGCTTTCTTAAATCACCACACTTTGTATTCTACAGCTCCATTCATCTGGGGCCTATAAATGGCGGAGTTGCGGTGTCTGATCTTGAACTGCTCGCATAATCCATCCACCATGTCATTGTTCAGATTCTTGGCATTGTCTGTAATAAGCGTTTCGGGCACTCCAAAGCGACAGATGATGTGATCTCTCAAGAAATTGGCAACTACCTTCTTCGTCACATGTTTAAACGACTCCGCTTCAACCCATTTGGTAAAGTACTCAATTGCCACCAATATAAATCGATGTCCATTTGAAGCGGGTGGATCGATTGTACCAATCACGTCCATACCCCACATTGAACAGGGCCACGGGGCGATCATACTATGCAACTCAGTGGGTGGAGTGTGTATTACATCACCGTGCATTTGACATTTTATACATCTCCGGACAAAGTCTATACAATCATGCTCCATAGTAAGCCAGAAATATCCGGTTCTCATGATTTTCTTCGCTAGCAAATGGCCATTCATGTGAGGTCCACAGACGCCACTATGCACTTCTTTCATCATATACTGAGCTTCATCTTCATCTTCATCGATGCACCTTAAAAGGTTCAAATCTGAGGTTCTTTTATACAAAACTTCTCCACTCAAGAAGAATTTTGAAACCATTCTACGCAGAAAGCTCTTGTCCTTGGTACTAGCATGCAGAGGGTAAGACCCAGTTTTAAGAAATTCCTTAATATCATTATACCAAGGAATATTGTCCGAGGACTTGTCTACAACCCAACAGTGGGCAGGCTTGTCTTGAAATTGAATCTGGATCGGTTCGATCTTCAACTCATCTGGATACTGGATCATAGAAGCCAAGGTGGCCAAAGCGTCAGCAAATGCGTTTCGGGCTCGCGGGAGATGTCTGAACTCCAAGTTTTGAAATTGTTTGGCCAGAGTGAGCAGACTACAATGGTAGGGCAGAATTTTTGAATCTTTGGTTATCCACTGCTTCAAGGTTTGGTGCACGAGCAAATCTGAGTCACTAAAAGCTATCAACTCTTTGATTTCCATTTCTAAAGCCATTTTGAGACCAAAAATGCAAGCTTCATACTCAGCCATGTTGTTTGTGCAAGCAAATTGCAATTTGACAGCGGCAGGATAGTGCTTCCCTTCGGGTGAAACCAGAACGGCTCCAATTCCAGCTCCGAGGGAATTCGAAGCTCCATCGAAGAAAAGCCTCCATTCAGGGCTTTGTTCACTTATATCATCTGTAGCGCCTACGAATAAAACTTTCTCATCAGGGAAATACGTATGAAGTGGCTGATAATCATCATCCCTTGGATTTTCCGCCAAATGATCCGCTATAGCTTGCCCCTTGACCGCCTTTTGTGAAGTGAAAACAATATCAAACTCTGAGAGAATTATCTGCCATTTGGCCAGGCGTCCGGTTAACATCGGTTTCTCCAAAAGATACTTCAAAGGATCAGATCGGGAAATAAGATAAATGGTATGGCTCAACAGGTAGTGTCTCAATTTTTGGGATGCCCAGGCCAATGCACAACAGCTTTTCTCAATGAATGAATAATTAGCCTCATACTGCGTGAACTTCTTGCTTAGATAGTAAATGGCTTGTTCTTTCCTTCCAAAGTCATCGTGCTGACCTAGAACACACCCTACTGCTCCATCGAGTACAGACAAGTACATGATCAATGGTCGGCCCGGTTTGGGCGGCACTAAGACTGGTGGATGCAACAAATAATCTTTAATCTTGTCGAAAGCCTGCTGGCACTCCTCATTCCAATACAACGGTACATTCTTTCTTAATAATTTGAACAATGGCTCGCATGTGGCAGTTAATTGGCCGATGAACCTCCCGATGAAATTGATCTTCCCTAAGAAGCTTTTCACGTCCTTCTGAGTTTTTGGCACTGGCATATCTCGAATTGCTTTGATTTTCGCCGGATCTATTTCTATGCCCTTCTTGCTAACAATGAATCCCAACAGCTTACCCGCAGGTGCTCCAAAGGCGCATTTCGCAGGATTTAACTTTAAATTGTACTTCCGCAATCTTTCGAATAACTTCTTCAAATCAACCAAATGGTCCTCTGCCCTCTTAGACTTGATTATGATGTCATCCACATAGACCTCCATCTCCCGGTGGATCATATCATGAAATAGGGTTGTCATGGTCCTCTGATACGTTGCTCCAGCATTCTTTAAACCGAAAGGCATGACTCGGTAGCAAAAGGTACCCCAAGGGGTAATGAAAGCAGTTTTCTCCCTATCCTCTTCTGCCATCAAAATTTGGTGGTAGCCAGCAAAACAATCGCAAAAGGATTCAATCTCATGTCCGGCAGTATTGTCTAAGAGAATGTGAATGTTTGGTAGAGGGAAATCATCTTTAGGACTGGCTTTATTAAGGTCTCTATAATCAACGCAAATTCGCACCTCTCCATTCTTTTTTGGAACAGGGACTGGATTCGAAAGCCAAGTTGGGTAATGGGAAACAATGATAATGTTGGTTTTGAGTTGTTTTTCAATTTGCTCTTTTATTTTGAGGCTCATATCTGGTTTGAATTTTCTGGGTTTTTGCTTTACGGGTGGAAAAGAAGGGTCTGTGGGTAACCTATGCACTACCACGTCAGTTGAAATGCCAGTCATATCATCATAGGACCACGCAAATACATCCTGGAACATGGTCAAGAATTCAAGCATCTCATTTTTCTGTCTTTCACTCAAATGAATACTAATTTGCACCTCCTTAACTTCATCCTCAGTGCCAATGTTAACCTTTTCTGTTTCTTCCAGGTTCGGTTTTGGTTTTTTCTCATATTGTTCAAGGTCCTTTGCAAAAGAATCGAATACCTCCTCATTATCACTCTCGCTTTGGAGTTCGGATTCACAGACCTCCAAGTCATGAGTGATATAGAGATTGCCGTTATTGAATTCTAGAATTGTGATATCCAAAGGGTCAAATAATTTTATTTTTGGCCATCTGAAAGAATTAACGAATGTGGGATAATAAGCAGATAAGCATACAACAAACCAATGAACAAGCAATATAAATATAAACAAGCGAATAAACAACACAACATGACAAGAAAAACTTGTGCACTTTCTATAAAGCCTTTGATTGAAAGCAAATGGAAATGAAAACTTAACAATATTTACATGTGCAAATGTTAGTCAAAAGTAAAATTGTTTTCATTGGCTATTTACAGATGCAAAAGTATTTTCATGAATTCACATGAATGATAAACCCCTTTCAGTTTACCGAAACTCCTTTCGAATGGGCAGAGCCTCGGCTGTCCAGTTGGGAATTGATCCATCGAGGATGTCAGGAAATTCAGCTTCGCTCGGAACACTATCTTCAAATGTTGCCCCAACGAACAATTGGGCCAAACTTCCTTCAATTTCGTCAACTGGGTTGATTTCTGACATGATCACCTCGGCTGGTCGTGGGAAAGTATATTGCAGGGGTGGAATGTCAAGAGCCCTTTGCCTTCCTTCCTTCTCCGCTTTCTTGCGCTCCTTCATCTCTCTAATGTCCTTAGCAGTTGGTCGGAAACCCAAACCAAACGAATCATTTTTCTCCACAATCTCCACTGGCTTTAAAATTCCTTGCAGATCTCGTCCCAGCCCTTTGTCAAATTCATAGCCTCCGCGGATCATCTCCTTAGCCATCATGACACTGGCCCTTGATAGAGCTTGCTCCTCCTTTGTTATCCAACTGACGGAGACAATATCAGATGTGCTATGAGGGGTCACTGTGGAGCTTCGGCTACCCTCTTCTTTGGACTCGGAATCGGTGATTACAAGGCAATCCTCTTCGGCAAATATAGTTATCAGCTTGTCATTTACTACAAATTTCAGCAATTGATGCAATGAAGAAGGCACCGCCCCAGACTTGTGAATCCATGGCCTGCCAAGCAAAACGTTGTAAACACTAGGAAAGTGCATGACTTGGCAGGTTATTTGAAACTGGGCGGGCCCCATTTCAACTACTAAATCAACTTCTCCTATTGGCTCTCTTTGCGCTCCATCAAAACCTCGGACTATGGTCCCTGAAGGCCTCAGCTTGACGTCTTGCAATCCTAGCTTTTCCAAGGTGCTCCAAGGACAGATATTAAGCACAGATCCGTTGTCAATCAACACCTTCGGCAACATTTTCCCGTTGCACCTCACGACTATGTACAGGGCCTTGTTATGTCCAATGCCTTCCGCCGGCAATTCCTCGTCAGAGAAAGTGATTTGTTTGGTGAATAATACGTTCCCAACCACATGTGAGAAATTATCAACTGAAATATCCTTAGGGATTTGAGCTTTAGTCAGTACTTCGATCAGCGCGTCCCTATGCATGTCTGATGAAAAGAGCAGGTCCAACATGGATATCTGAGCAGGTGACTTGCTTAGCTTCTCGATTACATTGTATTCGCTTCTCTGGAGCCTTTTAAGAAAATTCAAGGCTTCTTTCTCGGTGATTGTTGGTTTAGCAGGCGGCTCAGAGTTATTTGTTGGAATCGGAATGGCAGTTTCAAACGGACTGGCAGTCTTCCCCGGTCTGGTAACCACTGACACTTCCTTCTTTGCAATTGACTTCTCCCCAATCTGTATGACAGGTTCATCGTAATTCCATGGCACTTGCTGCAGACTTAAAACAGGTTCTTGCTTCAGG